AGTTCTGCAGCATTCAGCTTTCCTTATAGTCTAACTCTCACAGCCATGTATAGCTACTGGAAAAACCATAGCTTTGACCATATGGACTTTTGTCAGCCAGGCGATGTCCTTGCTATTTAGTATGCTGTCCAGATTTTCTATAGCTTTCCTTCCAAGGAGCAAGCATCTTTTAATATCGTGGCTGCAGTCACTGTCTGCAGTGATCTTTGAGACCAGGAAGATAAAATCTGACTGCCTTCCACTTATTCTTCCTCTATTTGCCAGGAAGTTATGTGACGAGTTGTTGTGATCTGAAGATAATTTTTTTTAATGTTAAGCTTCAAGCCAGCTTTTACACTTCTTCTTTCACCCTCATCAAGGGGCTAATTAATTCTCTTTCACTTTCTGCCACCAGAGTGGTATCATCTGCATATCTGAGATTGTTATTTCTCCTGGCAACCTTAATTCTGGCTTTTGATTTGTGCAGACTGGCATCTTACACAATGTACTCTGCATATAACTTAAATAAATAAGGTGACAATATACAGCCTTGTTATACTCCTTTTCTAATCTTAAGCCAATCAGTTGTTCCATGTTTGTTTCTAACTGTTGCTTCCTGGCCCACATTATAGGTTACTCGAGAAATAAGTAAGATGATCTGGTACTCCCATCTCTTTGAGGACTTGCCACATTTTGTCAGGAAGATCTGAGTTCAAAAGCGTACTCAGATTCTTCCTACTTATATGACCCTGTGCAAGTCACTTAACATCTCTATGCCTCAATTTCCTCATCCATAAAATTAGAGGTTGAAGTAGATGGCCTCTTAGGTCTCTTCCAGCTCTAAATAATAATAGTTAGCATTTATATAATACCTAAAGTTTGCAAGGTACTTTACAAATGTTATCTCATTTGATCCTCTCAACAACCCTGAAAGGTAGGTGATATTGTGATCCCCCATTTTACAGATGAGGAAACTGAGGCAGACAGTGGTGAAGTGACTTACCTAGGATCACACAACTAGGAAGTATCTGAGGGCACATTTGAATTCAGGTATTCTTGACTCCAGGCCTAGCACTCTATCTACTAAGCCACAGAGCTACCGATCTATGTTGAAAATATTTATTGAAGGCCCTCTACAATCTGAGACTACTTCACCTTTCCAACCTTATTTCACATTTTGCTCCACCCATACTCTTCTCTCTAATTAAACTAGGATACTTGTCCCCCAATCTTACCCCACACTTTTCCTGCCTTTGAAACTTTGCTCACTGTACCTAGAATGTCCTGTCTCTCTCTCTTCACCTGTTGAATTTCTATCTATCCTTTAAAGCAAAACACTTTCGAGGAAACTTCTTCTCATTCCTACTCCTCTGCCCCAGTGTGAGGGATCTTTCCCATAAACCCTTTCCCCAAATCTTATATTACACTTTTCTTTCACCTCTCTAATGCAATTATTTATTGTTTGGGATTATATATGATATTTTATCTACCAGACTATCAGCTCCATGAAAGCATGGATACAAATCTTGTTTAAACTTTAGATTATAAGATTTCAAATTTGAAGGGACCTTATGATCATTTTCTTCAACCCATTCATTTTACAAAAAAAGGAAACTAAGTCCCAGAGTTTCCTTTTTTATAAAATGAATGTATTAGTCAATGAACTCTGCTTCAATTTTTTTTACCTGTAAAATGAGCTGGAAAAAGAAATGGGAAACTACTCCTGTATCTCTGCCCAAATGGAGTGACAAAGAGTCAGATACAACTGAAATGACTGAACAACAACAAAGACCCAAATAATTTGCCCCAAACCACACAGCTAGTGAATAACAGAATCAGAATTTGAACTAAAATCCTTCAGACTCCAAATCCATTATATACCATCACCCTTGGTGCTTAGCATAATGCCTTTCTATGGAAAGAGTAGTAGAGTACTCAATGCCCTTAATGGACAGCATTAAGTACATAGTCACTGAATTGCATCCTGTTGAATGCAATTTCCCAAATTTATAAATCAAATCAATTAATATTATAAAATAAGTGTAACAATGCCAAGATACTTTCAGTTCTAATTTTTTTTTCATATTTTGAATCACAGATATCCTGAAGGCAGCAAAAATGAATGGAACTTCCTATTTTTTTTAAATGATAGCCATCTCTTATAAAATCTAAAGTATAGACATCATATTACAATAAAAATGGGCTTGTTTCATTATTAGTTCACTTCCCCCAAACACACACACAAAAACACACAAACACAGAAATATCTACACTGTGCTCACTGCAGAAGAAGACTCCTTTATAGAAGAGCTACACAGACAGGCAAAGAAATGGAGAATACAGTCAACAAAGATTTCTCTAGATATTACTTATAGATTTGCAGTAAGAACCAATCTCATTTCCATGGGGGCAGGAAGGCATTAGCACTTAGATTGGGTCTGAACCACACCAAGAAATACTCAGCTGTGGGCAATTCTTCTCTAGCTCCCAAGGAGCTAGAGCCTTCAAGTTTGCATGGCATGTGATGAATTATTTGTCACATGAAGCTGTCAGGGTCAGCAATCAGCAGCATTCATTATGCCCACCTTGCACATTTTTTACCCTGAAGACCAGCATGTGGGGAAGGGTGGGGAAATCAATCGTCTTTAAGATCTCTTTTGCTTATTATGTACAAAGCAAACTAGGCATGAGAGAACTGGGTGGGGAATTAAGTATGGCTCCAGAGTTCTGAATTATCGAAGGAAATTTGCTTTATTACCTAAGCTTTCCTATAGATAAATAGCAAAGTTTTGAGTGGTTGTGTATCTTTTACAAGGAGAAAACACAATACTGTTCTCATGCAGCAAGATATCACTATAAATATATAGTAACTCTTAAAATCCATCCATCCACTTGGTTAACATCCTGGTCAGAGATTTGGGGTGACTGGAGGGGGTAATTGCAAAGAGGCTCAATTATAATATTATTTCTTCTAAGAGATGGCTTGGCAGCTATGTACTCTGTTTAAGTTTGGCCCAGGAAATAGATTAGTAAGATCTAAAAGTAAAGGATATCCTTGCTGGCTCCTGAGCCAATGTTTATATGTAATATTTCACTTTCCCAGAATGGTAAAGAATAGGGTATTTTAAATGATCAGCTTTTTAAGATAACCAACACAAAATCATTTAGGTTCATTTTTTTTTAGTTATTTCCTCTCCCCACTCCCCACAAATCCTGCCAAGGATCCTCACAAAGACCAATTTATCAAAAATTAAAAGTATAATGAAGATATGATTAATGGAAATAGAGGGGAGGATCAGAAGCATTTGGTCAAATGCTTTGGAGAAAATAAGTAGGGATGTGGAAGGTAAAACAATAACTAAGAGCTTACACTTTGCTATATTAACATGACATAGTATTTTTCACTATGGTTAACCCCCAGTATAAAACACCTTGCTATTACATGGATGCAGTTATGCTGTAGACGAGATCGTGTCTCCAGGTATAAAATTACATTCAAGAAAGCACTTCTTTCCCCATAGTATAACCTCTTCAGCTCTAGAGCCCCTTCCTCAATTGCTCTTCCATTATAATTAGTCTTTAATAGTTTTTTAATGAAAATTAGAACATAGTCAATTTAGAATTTGATCTGCTCAGAGAAACAGACTCAAGATTATTTTGAGAGGAGATGAAGAGCGACTGAGGAAAATCCAAGCCCAAATCTAATTTCTAGTCTAGTTCTTATTAATGAAGGTCAATGTCATTTCACCTAAGTGATTGGCATTAGGATAGGATATGATCAAATCTTCGAATACATTTTGGACATATTGTGTGTGTACATAATAGGTTTATGTATTATATGTGTATATATAAACACAGAAATATATTTATATTATTGTATACAGACATATAGGTCTGCAAACGTAGGAATAGACGTAGAAAACATTTTAGGAACAATGAATGACTTGAGGGACTTATGATGAGTTTATGGAATTAAGAGCTAGAAAAATAGTGATCATTTAAGCCAACCCCCCTCATTTTGCATATACTGAAATTGAGACTTAGAGGGAGTAAGTAACTTTTCCAAGGTCACATAAGTATTAACTCAGACATGCACAAGAGCACTATTTGACTCATACCGGTTGAATATGTACTTATGTAATGTAACTTAATCCTAATTCAAGTTGATTGATAATTAGAAAACATAAGCACAGCTGAGCTTCAGTTGAAATAAATTAGAATTAGTGGTTGAAATGAGTAGTGGACAAGAATTTGAGTGACACAGAAGAGATTCAGAACAAACATTTAGAAAGAAAATTCTAACTCTAGGGGAAATGAGACTTCTGGTCACTTTACCAGGAGGTTATGAAAACTCTCTTGAATATTTTAAAGACAGTTAACTCTCTCTGGGATGTATTAAGGACAGTCCTATAATGAGTCAAAAAGATTTATCAGGTGACTTCTTGAGAGCCTTTTTAAAAACATGAACAAAACATATTAGGAAAAAGTGGATTATGGCATCTGTAGCAAAAAAGAAAAAAATTTGAGGCAGCTAGGTGATGCAGTGGATAGAGCACAGGCCCTAGAGTCAGGACGACCTGAGTTCAAATCTGGTCCCAGACACTTAACACTTACTAGCTGTGTGACCCTCGGCAAGTCACTTAACCCCTGTGCCTAGCCAAAAAAAATAAAGTTTTGCCATATAAAGAAAAAGGATATGTAAAAGACTATTCGGGGGCATCATAAATAAATTGATATTCTGATGTTATTTTGTCTTTTATCAAACCAATAAAAATGGGGGATCCTTTTTTTCAGTCTAAAAGCTCCTACATACTTTGAATGTCTCTTAAATTTCACCAGTGGTTTATTTATTCATTGACTTCATTGATTTTAGTCATGTATTAAAAACATTTATTTTCCATTTTATGATAAATTTCAGGCATGAATACCTTTTATTTCTGTATATTTTATTTTAAATTTTCAGTTTTATGTGTATTTTCCATTTCCATCTATATATTTATATTGGACTATTATATTTTCAGTTGACTTCATAGGTGGACTTGACACACATTCCTACCATCAGTCCCCCCAGGATCATGTTGAATTAAAGCCTGTTAAACCTGTAAGTAAGGTTGTGATGAGCCAGAAAATATTAATCCTTCTAACTCAGCCAGAACTAACCTGAACCACATGAATTTGAACAAATTGCTACTAATTTTTATATTAACTTATAATCATTGATATTAAAGACAGACCTTTCACATGTAGCATGTATTTTTTCAAAGAGAGATTATCTTTTCATTATCTAAATCATTTATTTAACTACAGGAAGAATAAAGGCCTGGTGTTGTTTAGCTTGCTGAAGGGAACACTTAGGATCATATCTTTAGAGCTAGAAAGGACCTCAGGGGTCATCTAGTCCAACACTCACATTTAAAGATGAGAAAACTAGTGGGAGCTAGGTGGCTCAGTGGATAGAGCACTGGCCCTGAAGTCAGGAGGAACTGAGTTCAAATCTGGTCTCACACCAAACACTTGACAATTACTAGCTGTGTGACCCTGGGGCAAGTCATTTAACACCAGTTGCCTTTAAAAAAAAAAAGATGAGAAAACTAGAAGAGGTTAAGTGAGTTGTCCAAGATCATACGAGCAGTAAGTGAGAGAGACAGGATTTTCCACCCCAACTTCTCTGACTCCAAATCCAGTGTTCTGTCCACGGTATCATACCATACCTCTACCAATCTCTGCAAATTGAGTCATTTATTATCTTCCAAGTGATGGAGGTGATGGCAAGAGCAGTGGAAAGGGATGATATTTTGCTAAGTGATGTATATTCATTCATTGAGTTTATAACATGTCATGTAAAAGAAAAGCCTAGATCACTTTTTTACCATAGATACAGCAGGAATAAGAAGGAAGGAAAGAAAAAGGGAAGTAATGGAAGAAAGGAAGAAGGAAGGAAGGAAGGAAGGAAGGAAGGAAGGAAGGAAGGAAGGAAGGAAGGAAGGAAGGAAGGAAGGAAGGAAGGAAGGAAGGAAGGAAGGAAAGAAGGAAGGAAGGAAGGAAATGAGTGAGGGAGGGAGAGAAAGAAGAAAAGGAAGGAGGGAGAGGGAGGGAAGAAGGTAAGTGAGTAGGTAGCTAAATAGACTGGTCTTTGAATAGACTTTGTAAGATCACATGTCAAAAAGCCCAAGTTAAAAATAGGTAGCATATCATAGACCAAAATTTTTCTGGGGAAGTTGGCTCAAGATGAATGAGAGATTTTCAAGAATGCAAGTCTGAAGACATAAATGCAGATGATGCCAATGAAGAAGAAAACATGGAGTTGTCTAAAGAGACCATTTTAGTGGCTCAGGGAACTCATTAACCAAAGCATATTTTAAAAAGACATTTATAGAATATGGAAGGAAGGGTAGATAACTGAGGATGAATAGTATGAATATAAAAGTGATCTTATAAGAATAATGTGAGGAATGACAAAGCCACAAATGAAATGAGGTTTGCAATGAATACTAATGAAAACATTAAAAACATGAATGATCTTTTAAAGCTATGCTGGGGGCAAGAAGAGAGAGGAAAACTGTCAAATAATGATAAGATGATAGAAAACAAGGTGTGACTCAACTCCTATTTTGTTTCTTTTTTTTTCTCTGCCAAGGAGAATAACATTCATACATGGAAGTATAGAACAAAAATTATTGAAAAGGAATTCAAAGCCATGAAATGATGATGGAAAAAGTGATGGATTTAGTATTAGAAGAGAACCTCGGTTTGAATTCTGGCTCAGCTTACTTGCAAACTGTGCGACAAGTCGCTTAAACCTTCTAGAACTTGGTCTCTTTATCTATAAAGTAAAGGGTTCAATTTCATAATGTTTAAATTGCCTGTCATCTCTGCATCTATGATCCCATGACCTTAGAGGAAGAGTTTTTAACCTTTTTGGTGTCATGGACTCCTTTGTTAATCTGATGAAATCCATGCACCCCTTCTTAGAATAATATTTTTAAATGCATAAAATGAAATACATCGGATCACAATGGAAATTACATTGAAATACAGTTACCAAATTAACAAAGTTTAACCACTCTAGATTGAGAATCCTTGCTTTAGAAATAATCTGATTCTTGGACAGCTAGACACTGCAGTGGATAGAGCACCGGCCCTGGAGTCAGGAGGACCTGAGTTTAAATCAGGCCTCAGACATTTGACACTTACTAGCTATGTGATCCTGGGCAAGTCACTTAACCCTGATTGCTCATCAAACAAAAAAAAAAAGGCAAAAAAAAATCTGATTCATATACATTTTACACATAAAGAAACCAGAACCCAGAAACAGTACAGGACTTGCCCAAAATCATATTGGTAGTTAGTTGAAGAGTCAATATTTGAATCCAGATCTACTGATGCCAAATCCTTTCCACTGTACCCCACAGTTTCACCCAGTTCTAAATTTACGATCCTATGATCCTGTAGTGAAGAAAACACCTAGTTATCTTCAATGAGTATAGATGGCTTCAGTGGCTCAGGTGAACTATACATCCCTCTCAGACTATTGCAGCAAACTTCTCTGAGGGCCTACACATCCTAGCTAGAACCTCTTCAGTTTTGACTTAAATTGGGGGTTTACATGGGATTGTTGGAGGACATATGAGGCGATCAGACTCTTGTCTATTTTCCTCATCAATTGGCAGCATAAGTTATACAAAAGGGTGATTCTGCGGTAAGCCAGTGGCCACACCAGAAAGTGAAGGTCGTCCCATACTTAAACCTTACACATCTGAAGCAAAATTTTTCATCGCAAATGACTTTTGTGGTTAGGCTAAAGGACGCACCTTCTGGTTTTCTCTGTGATTCTTTGAGATAAAGATATTTCTATTTGGCTTACAGCTTTCCTAAATACTACACAGTCATTGATCCATTCCCCCATTAAACATAATACAGGGGCCCAGTTTGTAGGCTGACAGCAGGAAAATGGCTTATAAGCATTTCCTTTATATACAGAAAAAGTCCCATCTCTGGCATATGTTGGTGACGCTCCATCAGTTTCCCTGCTTCACAGGGATTCTAAGGCAATAATTGTTGGGAAATCAAGGTGTTGTATGTTGGTTCTGTGCCCAGAACTGTTTGAAATTCCTGGCTTCCTTTCAGGCCAGGGTCAATAGAAAGGCCAAGTGATGGTTATTCCTTTCCTGGCCCTCTAATCCACTTGATCTTTCCTGTCTAAGGTTACCTTCCTTTCTCTTTGTAAGTATTTTGTATCTACTGATTTATTTATATATTATCTCCTTACTTAGTATGTAATCTCCTTTAAGGCAGGTGCTGTTTTTGTGATTTTGCCCTTTTTTGTGTACCCAGCACTTGGCATAGGCAGCTAGTTGGAACAGTGAATAGAGCAATGGGCCTGGAGTCAGGAAGACTCATTTTCCTGAGTTCAAATCTGGCCTCAAAGGAAGAGTAGGACATAACCGAACAACAAAAAACATCTAGCACAGTGCCTGAAGGCTGACAAGTAGTGTACAGTAATATTTGCTTACTGGAGGTAGCTAGATGACTGTGAATAGAGCACTGTGCCTAAAATAGGAAAACTGAATTCAAATCTGGCCTCAGTTACTTACTAGTTGTGTGACCCTGGGCAAGTCACTTAACTCTGTTTTGCCTCAGTTTCCTGATCTGTGAAATGAACTGGAGAAGGAAATGACAAACCACTCCAGTATCTTTGCCAAGAAAACCCCAAATGTGTCACAAAGATTCAGACAGGACTAAACAACAACAGTAAGTGCTTATCCACTGATTGATTGCTTAAAAGGGCAAAGGAAGGAGAAAGGAGTAACCTGTCTCACCCCACAGCTGATCTCGTGAATTTATCAGCAGAGAAGGATGCCAGGCCTAATGACCTTGAGCAGTAGTGAGTACTGTGGATGTATTCCTTAACTACCTCTCTTGAACCAGTGATTACATGTTAAAACATGCTATTAACAGATTAACCTTTGCTCAGGAATTTTGTTCATTACAAATTAGAGCATCATGCCTACAAAAAAGATTGGCAGGCAGTTACAGAAACCTAAAACCCTATGTTACCCATACCTACTCTGCCCCTACACACACACACACACACAAGCCTTCAGTGATTCTTCTTTGTTGTTAGTCAGTTGTGTTGGACCATTCTGTCCACTGGGGTTTTCTTGGCAAAGACACTGGAGTGGTTTCATTTCTTTCTCCAATGCATTAAGGCAAACAGAGATCGGCTTGCACAGAGTCCTATAGCTAGTGAGTGTTTGAGGCCAGATTTGAACTCAGGTCTTCTTGACTTCAGGCACTGACCCTATCCACTGAGCCATCTAGCTGCCTGATTCTTCATTGCCTACCAAATAAAATCCAAATCTTTCAAGACCTTCCACAGTTTACCTTAAGCCAACTTTTCTAGTCGCCTCCTCGCTGTCCCCTGTTACAAAATTGATGCTCCTACCAAGTTGTGCTTCTTATAATACCTGAACGTACTCCTTCTTTCCTATCTGTACTCAAGTTATTCCTTCTGCCTTTGTTTTCTCTTGTCTACTCCCCTCCAGTCCTGAGTATCTTATGCTTACCAGGCATCAATCTTTTCCTGATCCTCCCTATCAGAAGCTATTTCTTACTGCTCCGAGCTTTCACAGCACTTAGGTCTCTCATTCTTTGTACCATTACATTCTTCAGTACTTTAGAGCTATTTGGGCATATGTCTTATCTCACCTTTTAGGCTTTATTAAGCACTAGGGACACGAAGATGAAAAGGCACAGTCCCCACTTTAAAGGAGATTGTAGTTTAATAGGAGGAATAAGGCATGTACATAAATGAGACTGAAACAAAGTGGTCAATCAATGTGATCAGGACAAATGTGAGGAATCAGACTTTATTTGCAGCTGTGAGAACTGAAGAGCCTTCATGGAGAAAGCAGAACCTGCAGTGAGGCTTAAAAGATGAAAAAAAGATTTTAACAGGAAAAGATAAGGAAAGAGTTTATTCCAGGTACGTATGCCCAGGCAAATGCATAGGGAACGGGAAAGATATCATAAGGTGAGACTGAGAAACATCTAGTGGAACGGGAAGGGGGAGGAGAAGAGGAAGGGAAGGGAAGGGAAAAG